CCCCTCAAAAAAACAACAACAAAAAAAACGAATTATATCTTTTAAACTTCTATATTGTGAACAATCTGCTTTTTTTTTCTTTAACAATAGATTTTTCCAGACCATTCTTCTATCTGTGCATCTTATGTAGAAGCAGAAAAAATATTTTTCTAACTGTTGTGTTAGATCTGCTCACTTATAACACAACATTAGCTCTAGTTTAAGCAGCTCAGCAATAAGTAGCCTTATGATTTAACGGGATCAGCAGTGAAAGTAAATAGTTTAGAAACTGTTATGACTTTGACTTTAAAGTCTTCAGTTGATCCAAAATGCTGCTGCCAGAGTTTTAATAAGAGAGATCATATCTCTCCAGTTTTAGCTTCTCTCCATTGGCTCCCTGTCAAATTCAGAATAGAATTCAAAATCTTACTTCTAACCTACAAAGCGCTCAACAACCTAGCTGCATCTTATATTCGAGACCGCATTGTTCCATATTTTCCTAAGAGACCACGTTGCTTTCAGACTGCAAGTTTACTTGCGGTTCCTAGAGTTCCCAAAAGTAGAATGGGAGGAAGATCTTTCAGTTATCAGGCTCCTCTCTTGTCGAACCAACTTCCAGTTTCTGCCAGTGAGGCTGACACATTGTCTACTTTACAACTAGGCTCAAGTCTTTCCTTTTTGATAAATCCTGTAATTAGGGTCAGCTTGGGTTTCCTGACCTATCTCTTAGTGATGCTGCTATAGGCTTTGCTACTGGAAGACAAATTGACCTCATTTCAACAAATTAATACAAATGATTAGTTTGTATTTGTAGTTATTTCTATCTTAAAATGTGTTTTTTTTATTTTTTATTTTTTTTTATCTTTCCTCACGAGTGACCTGCTCGCCTCCATTCTGGACCTGCCATTCTGTGTCCGTTTCTCCTTCTTGTCCTCTCAAGTCTAGCCGGTTGAAGCAGGTGGCCGCTTGTCCTGAGCCTGTTTCTGCTGGAGGTTTCATCCTATTATGAGTGAGTTTTTCCTTTCCACTGCTGCCTTTGTGCTTGCTCAAGATGGGAGACTGCGATGAAATTAAGATTCAACACATTCAGCTTCCTTTCCTAGATAACTTTACTAATTGGCAATGAAGTTCATGCTCAATAATCCAGGAAAAAAAATCCAACAATGTTCAATCAGGTCATCTGCATGGTTTATTTTTTGTGCTGAGACATTTCATCCTTCATCGAACAGACTTCTTCAATCTGAGGAACCAAACAAATGTACAAATTGACATTTATAATGCGTGTGAATGCTTTTAAGTGCCCTGAGACAACTTATGTTATGACTTGACGCTATATAAATAAATTGAATTTAATATTAAATCAGATTGTAAACAGCAACAAATTGACTATTGTTTTACAAAAATAAGAAAAATTATATTTTTCCAGTCAAAGCAACTATCACTTATTTCTAGAAAATGAGGCAGCATAAATGTAAATTGATGATAAAAATACATTTTATTTTTCACAGCCATTACCACACACAGCAGAAATCACAGCCAGTGAGTTGGCACTGTAACCAGGGGCAGACTGAGACAACAAAACAGGTCTGGAAATTGTTCCTGGACTGCTTATCCTTTATACAAAACATTTGTTGGAAAGTCTCACAAAACAGATCCCTTTAAAACACATCCCTATAGTTAAAGTAAAATCTGTTTAACTCTCCTCAAGTATAGCCAGAGACCTTGAGCAGAATGAATACTTAACCAAGACAAGTTAAAGCTCAAGAACATTAGTCTGCAATATCCTGATGCATGCTCAATAATCCAGGTAGAACAATCTAAAAAAGTTCAATCTGGTCCTCTGGACATTCAAAAAAACAAAACAAAATTATTGTACAAACGTTTTGTTTTTCATCCGAGAGACTTCCTCAGTCTGAGGTGCTGTATTCAGCTCAGTCTCTTAAATAGCACCTTCTCAGAGTGGATCAACCAGTTTGCTGCTGACAACCAAAACCAGCTGCTCACATGATCAAGAAGGACCATCAGCCTAACGATGGATTATTAGCACACTGATGGCTGTTTACTATTCACAGGAGGGAGGCTGAGTGATACTAGCAATAACAGCATTGTAAGAGGGGGACAGTTGAACCCGGAGGCCTCCACCCCTGTTTAATGATGGACGGTTTATTTTCACAAAAATGGCCTCCTTCACTTCTCTCTCAAACCATCGTTCCTCTCTATCCAGGATGTGAACATCTTCATCCCTGAAAGAGTGACCAGTGGCCTGGAGATGAGTGTAGACTGCAGAGTCCTTATTATAGGCAGAAACATGGGTGTGCTATGGGGTCTCCAGTTTCTCCTATTGTGGCCAACCTGTACATGGAGGAGGTCGAAAAGAGAACCATGACGTAATTTTCAGGGACATCAATCACCAAGTCATTGGTTCAGGTAAGTTGATGACACCTGGGTTAATATTAAATCTCTGGAATTCCAACATTTCACTGATCACATCAACTCTGTGGATACATATATCAAGTTCACACGAGAAGATGTAAAAAATGGCAGGCTGGCTTTCTTGGACTGTGAAGCTGCATCCAAACATAAGAAACGTTCCTTTGAAAAAATGGGTTGTCAGAATCCAAGATGGCTACCACTGTTTGTAAACTGGATAACCCTCTCAAAGGAAACTTTGCTTTATAGATTTTATATTGCTTTAAATTATAGTTAGACTGACGATTAATCTATAGGGCCACCCCCTGGCTACACCATTGCACCTGGTAGATAAAATTGCTCCCTCCGCTCATCATAATTCCTCACTCTGCACTGCCTCGGACTAGAAAAAAATAACCCCACCTCTGTTCCCATACACAGTATAAACCCTACCAACTTGAATATCTTGGACCAAAAATCTTAAGGTTTACTGGTACTTGCATTTCCTGTTTGATTCCAGTTTAAATAAATAGTCATCATGAAAACTACAAACATTCACAATTCAAATTCTTCAGCAAAGTGGAACATAGGTGCACCACTTGTTTTACCTACTGATTTCTTCCTCATTATTCATTTTCGCTGCCTCAGGCCAAAAAGCAAAATGTTTTAGTCCATGTCTGTGTGTTTATTTGTCTGTCTTATCTTATGACCCACAGCACAGATTTTAGCTACAGCAAACATAAAAATGACCAGAACTGTCAATTTCAGTGATATGGAGGTACAATATAGAGGTGAGGTCATAGCCGAGTGATTCACAACACATACACTGAAGGTGACAGTTTGCAATATCTCATGAGTTTGTACATAATGTTATTTTCAAGATTTTGCAAAAAGGACTAAAATCTAAATAATAATGGTCTAAATCTCTTGCATGAAAGGCATTGAGTGATATTCTTTCATTAAGGAATGCTAGGCCTTAAATTCAGGTTTCTTCTTATGTGTAAATTGGTCTCTTTTTAATATTTGCCAAATGGTACAAATTTTCCTTGGCGCGTACAGTGATCCCTCACCTATCGTGGGGGTTACGTCCCAGAGCCCCCTGCGATAGGTGAAAATTTGCAAAGTAGCATTGTTAAATTAATTTTATTATTTTTATATATTTTAAGGCTTTATAAACCTTTCTCCAACAATGTTCAGTCAGACTTCTTCAATCTGAGGAGTCACCAGCCGAGTCCCACCACAAACAGCACACTCCAATAATGGAAAAAAAAAACAGTTTGCTGAGGATAAGATGGTCTCCGGGGCCCGTCCTCTCCCTTGTCAACTCCTCTGAGGCAGCCTTGCCAAAGTGGTTCAAAACACCAAAGTTCATGCTCAATAATCTAGGTAGTAATGGGACTCAGTTTGTTGGTGGCTCCTCAGATTGAAGAAGTCCTTTGGATGAAGGATCAAACGTCTCAGCAAAAAAAGAAACCATCCAGATGACCTGACTGAACATTTTTGGATTATTACCTGTATTATTGAGCATGCACTTTGGTCTTTCCCACACTCCTATAAACCTTTCTTACTCTCTTACAAACACTTCAAATGCTCTTAAACACTTGGACAATGGCGAAGAAGATGATGGTGATGAGATGAATGTAAAGTACTGCACAGCATGTACAGTAAACACAATATTAACAACAACAACAAAAAAACAGAATTAAAAAGCCCGTGATACAGTGAGGCCCCAAGAAGTGAACCACAATTTAGCAAGGGACGACTGTACATTATTACAACAAATACATTAACAATATATATCTGGGTAATATAATAAATTCATGTTATGCAATATAATTAATGAAAAATCATCTTCATCTTTAGTCATTAGATATATATATATATATATATATAGATATATATATATAGATATATATATATATATATATATATATACACACACACTGCATATATATATATATATATATACAGTATACAGATAATGTTTAAATAAGGGAAATACAGTAGTCCCTCATTTATCACGGGGGATCCGTACACTGAAGACCCATGATAAGTGAAAAACCACGAAGTAGGAACAGTAGTACAAGTAGTAAGTAGTAGTTAGGTGTTTTAAACTCTTCCCATAATCTTGCAATGTTCTAAACAATGTTTCTAAACTCTAAATATTCTAAAAGAGCACAGGATGTCATGATTTCAGCTCTCTGCCTCCTCTGCTCTATGCCACCTGGAAGCGCTCTTGGCCACGCCCACTTATCCGCTCTGCATGCTGAACATCTGATCAGCTGTTTAACTGCAGCAGGAAGTCTAACCTGCAGCAGTATGGGCTGCACAAAGGAGGTGCTAAATTATTTTATTTTATTTTATAAAAATTCCATGCTGATCATGCAGCTCATCCATCGATCAGCCAATTGTGTGTCATGTCCAATCTTATTTTGAAAAACCACGACAGGAATCCGCAATAAATGAACCGCGTAGTAGCGAGGGACTACTGTACAGATAAAGTGCTACTTAAGTTTTGCCTCAGGGCAGATCTGAGGAAAAGTAGAACAAAAATACAGGACAATGAGACAAACTGGACTGGGAGGAGGACATGCAGAAAGAGATTCTTTTACCTTCTGTGTCCTGACCGAGGCAGGTCGATAGCAGCAGCAGATGAAGGACTCCTGTTCTCATCACATTCAGCCATTTGATTTGGCCCCATGACAGTGGCTCCATTAGGCACATTCGAACCATCTTCACCACCATGCTTCACCAAGCATCCAGCTGTGTAGGGAGGGAGGGGACAAACACATGAATACACGTTAATCTCACCTCTTTCTAGCTGCGCTAAATTGAAAATAAAAACATTAAAAATATATACATTGGCTTTGATTTTCTTAAATAATACAAACTCTAACAGAAACGACTCACTCAATCTTTCAGGTTTGTTGTCTCTCAGCTGTCTGCTCTGTCTCTACAGATCTAAAAAAAAAAAAATTATTTTTCCATATTGATAGTTTCAAAACACGAGGTGCCCTCTCAATCTGAAGCTCTGATGGCATTTAATATTCATTTTGAGGCTGCACCGCAGACTCCAATCCAAAGTCTTTGATCAGCCTTTGTGCTCATGCATCAAAGTAAATTATTGTTTCACAGCCAACAAAATGAAAAATATAGAAACTTGTGGATGATGATAGAGAGGGAAATATTAAGTGCAAAGTAAAAATGCCAGAGGTGCCAGCAACATCTCAGATCTTGTGGTGGAAAATCAGCCACATTTGAAACGTTATACGGAGGAGTGAGCGTGAGAAAAATACATTTAGCTGACGTGTGCTTATGCATGCATGCATGTGGCGCCTCTCTATACGTGCATCGTTCAAGATTTTAATAATTGTGTCTTTTAGGGAGAGCAAGAGAGCAAGCGTACATGGAAGGTTTCTGTGAAGTGCAAGCAACATGTTTGTGCTCCCTGAGTGTGTATAAATTGATATTTGGTCGCTTGCGGCTCAAACTCATCTCGCATTATGACTGCTCATTTACTCATTTTCATAGAAATTACAAACAAAAGTGTTTAGAAAAAGTACAAGATAAAACATCCTTTGGTCCTCTGCACAGACTCACACTGAGTTCATTTTCTTTGGAGTGTGTATGTTTGTACTGCACATTTTTCTGTTATTCAACCAAGGAAATCAATCTGAGGAATGAAACTGGCTAAAGCCAAATCCCATTTTACCCTTCCTCCTTAGTTTTTAACCCTTTACGGGCATTGGGTGTCCCAGTTTTTTATTATTATTTTTTTTTTTGTGATGCAAAGTCAAAGAGGCACAACATCAAAAATCTCAATGGCCACAATAAAAAAAAAAAAAAAAGATTAGTTGTGCTTGTAAGACATCACAGATGTAAGTATTTACTTAGAAAAAATATTTTACCTGGCACCTGGCTGCTGTTTAATATATCTTATTATTTTACATTATTATTGCTTAGTGTAAATCTTAGATCCTTATATATTGTTTTTTTTTATACTTATATTTTTACTATTTTTGGGTGTAACTTGGACCTTGAGTACACAATTTTGATCCATCTCATATACCACATGTGATGTGAATGACAATAAGAACCTTGAACCTAAATGTATTGTAATGTTCAGTTTGATTTACACTAATGAATTTCATTTAGCACAATAATATGCAAAAATAACAGTTTTAAGTTTAACCATCATGCTGCCACTGTCGTACGGTGGCCCTTAGGCCGGCCTTGTGGGTTATACCGATCCGTGGTCAGCAGGCATATTAAAATATTTTATGTAGCAATACACAACAGAGACCAATGTCTACAAACACAATATGTGCCAGATTTCTACTTTATTCTTTTGAGAATTACCACATTATATTTACCAGATATGTAAATTGTGTGTACCAAGTAGCTATGGGGACTGGACTGAAGGAAGGTTTGTTGTTACCCTGTACTTACCAGAAATGTACTCGGTACACACCTGGTATGTGTCAGGTATTTACCTGATACATACTGGGTATGGGGTAATCTGGTCCTTGTAGGTACCAGGTACATAGTTTGTACCTTGTTACTATCCCATATGTACATGATATGTACTGCTACTGTAATTTTTCTTTAAGCATAAAAAACATCTTATGTAAGGTCTGTTGCAGGTTTAATAACTATGTATACATACTGTATATGGGATTGTTTTACATACCTGTAACCTTAAAAAAACATTTTAAAAAAATTGAATTTTGCTACTCTTATCAACTTCTAATTAAGATCCAGTAGTAGGCAAATGATTACAAGGAAAACAAATGGAATTCACATACAATTTATTTTATATTAACATGAAGGCCTTGGAAAATTCTGCACTGACACAACTTTCATCTCAGTGTATAAAGACTCAACTTACATAAAATAATATTTTTCCACTTATACAAGTTAATTTTCAATGTTCACCACCTTCTTTTATTACAGTCCTCACATTCTCATATCCATTATACTATCACCTACTTTTAACAAAACCTTGTATGAGTAACACCTTAACTCAAGACTACGCTCAGAACGACTCATTCAGAAAGCACAAAATGAACATTTTCTCCTCCCGGGAAACAAGTTGCCTGTTTAATTAGAGCTGACTCACCAAGCTCTCATGGCGGACATTACTGTGGTGGAGTCAGATTACTGCTGACCTTCTCTCTTGAAGGGAGGTTGAGACTTGACTGACAATGAAAAAGTAATTGTGATATTCCAAAGCCCCAAGGAGAAGTCCTGCAGTTATGTGGATTCAAACCATGAGCTTCATTTGAAGATGACACTTCATATGCGTGATGTCAGCATGCCCCTAATACTGGCGTATTTTACAATCTACTGGGAAGTAAGAGTCAGGAAAAAGTCTGGGAAGGAAACTGATAACTCCTTTGACACCATGGAGGTGCTCATTCTCTAACAGAAGACCAGATGGTAATTTATTTTCCTGTGAAAGTTATTTTTATGAATCATCATATCATAGATGTTAAGGCATTATAATGTAATGTTAGAACTACTGAAGAGTTTTGTGCAAAAACAAATTAAAGTAATCTGTTTTAATGAAGTTGAATCCATAAAAAAACAGATTTGTGACACATTGTACTTAAACCATTTGGGTTGGCTTTTCAGAGATTTTCAAACCAAAATAAATAGAGACAAATTTCAATTAAATTCAACCTTTATTTAGACAGATTAATCACTTTGAGCCTTGAAGACTCATTTACAAGTGAGACCTGTTTAGACAGACAAAAAAATAGTGAAACTGGACACATGTAGGAATTGGAGGTCAAAAAAATTCCTAGCAAACTCTTACTTCTTCGTGGAGAAGAAAGACCTTGATATTGGAAAAAACACCTTGCACATACAAGCACATGGTGATGTAGACATTATTCCACAGAGGGGGTAGGGGGGGGGGGGGTAACAAGGGCAGTGAGGATGTCCAAGGTTGTCCTCGGGGGCACTGTAAGAGTTCTGATAAGGATGGAATACTCAGCCAATTCCATCAGGTGAGATCTGTAAAAATTCTCGAGGGATGTCCGGGAATGGCCAAGGGCAACGCCAATGAGAATCCAAGAGTCTTGAAATGATGACACAATGTTTATTTAGCTGGTTTCCTCAGATTGATCAGTGGAATTCCTCGGGGGGGGGGGGGGGGGGTGTCAGATTACATGTCCTCCAGACGAATCAAGATAAGGTGGTCTGCAAGGCCAGCCAAGGGAGCCAAATACAGATAAACAACATTTGTTTTTGAAGTCAAGCAGAACTTTAATTTTTATCAGCCTTGAGTCTTCGCTAGTCTCAAAGATTTCAAAAGGTCCAAATTAAGTGGACACACCACTGATCCGTGCCTGAGAATATTCCCCAAGATCTGATCCATCCCATCAGCGAGTCCTAGGGGCTGCATATGGCCTGTGATTCTCACAAATCACATCCAATTTGTGATCCCGTCCACTAAGCAATAAAGTCTGGGTGCTCGAGACACGAAGCAAACCTTCACATAGGCGTCAGCCTGACCAGGCCAGATTAGCTGCGGCCGTCTTTTTTGTATGTTGATAAACCAGGAACCAGACAATTCCAAAAACAGGAAACCTGTTATCATAAATCCAATTATATGGCGTTTTGGCGTCCTCGATCGACAGTAGAATGTGTCATCCAGGCAGTTCAGCTTGTCTCAAAAATTTTGTCCATTGCGTTCAGAGACCTTCTGACCAGATCCACAAAATTACAGTTCAGAAGATACTATGTATGTAGATAAAGGCTCAGAAGCAGTTTCACAGACAGGACAAAGCAGAAAGCAAAGTGGAGGAGGGGAAAAGCATCCGACCTCGGCAAGAGCAAATGGTGAAGTTGAAAATAACAGTGTCCCAGGATTATAAGGAAAAATATGTTTGTTGGAATTACTTTAGTCTGGAAATATTTATTTTTTTTCTCAAAAACTTTAGTACCACTACAACTTTTTGTTTATAACTTATTTGTTCTAGAACTGCGCCGCTCAGGGTGGCAGCATGTTGGCTGCATGTTGGCAGCTCTGTTACATTAATTCTGAGATTTTGCGTTTGGAAACATTAATTCTTCTTTATCTGGATGTAAATCACTTTGTTTGGATGATTGTTTCCTCTGGTATTGTATGCTATGCAGCTGGAAGTATTTTTACCTAAACCTTTTAAAGTTTTTTTTTCACATTTGTTATGATGCATAACTATAAAAGCAAAGCATTTTTTTTAAAACCAGGAGCAACTGTTTAACATCTCAAAAGCTCAAATAATAACACAGCTAAAGCCCCAAATCTCAAATTAGTTGAAAAGGCGGCACCATATATGTATTTCTGTCTCCCTGCTGGCTGTGCTCAAGTGCCTGACCACTGAGATCCTGGAACTGGCAGAAAACACATCTTGTGACAGCAGAAGGACTGGGATTGTCCCCCGACACTTACAGTTGGCTGTCCGCATTGACACGGAGCTCGACAGGCTGCTGGGAGGAGTGGCCATCGCTCTTGGAGGCGTTAAGCCCAGCATTTGGGCGGTCCTGCAGCCCAGGGGAACCAAGAGGACAGGCGAGACTGGGTGGCCAGATCAGACAGCATCTGTGGTCAGTTTCTTTGTATCTACAGTGGGATGGACCATTACAAGAAATCCTTCCTGCCTACAACCATCAGTATCCATAACATATCTTAATGAAACAAGGATAACAAGTTACAACATTTAATTTCCCTTTGTGAGTAATAAAGTACTGTATTTCTGAATTTCAACTTGGGCTAG